TGTGTGTGTGTGTGTGTCTGGACTGTCTCCTCTGAGCACAGCGACACAGCTAGACCTCTTCATTTACAGTTGTCCCATGTCTATAGTTCACTAATGAAAAGCCTTTTGTTGCCCCAAACCTCCTGAGTGGCTTTGTATAGAGATACTGGCTGCTCTTTTTCAATGAGAGTGCAGGCAGCACCAGCTACCACACAGTGTGAGAGTGTGTGTGTCTACAGGGGGTAGAGCAGTTTATGCTCTCTATCGCTCTCCTTCTGGCTGTTTTTCCCTGCTATGAAATATTCATAATGTTGTTCTGTGTGTTTGTTTCAGTTTTGGCCAGTTCTGCTTTAACAAACACATCCTTGATCTCTGCATGTTTCTGAATAAATTCAACCAGATAGGGAGTTGATTAAACCTATAAATTGTCCATTGTCTAAATTGAGTTCTCCCTGCAAACCTGCGTCCCGAGCTGTCCCTTTAAGAGTACTGTTCCTTGCAGGGCTAACGTCATTGTCCACTGGTCTTGTTAATTTTTTTCCCTCCCTCCTAGCTCTCAGCAGTGACCTTGGGAAGTAGACGTACAGTCCACACACACCAGATGTGAGCATGCACACCGATATACACAGCACAGGTGTAAATTCACACACACACACAGATGAATGATTTCTCTTTATAGTTTTTCCTCCGTTGCCCTTTCTCTTCAGCTCTCCCTCTCTGTCCCTTTTTGTGTCTCCCTTCCTCTGTGTCAGTCTCTCTTTTATCCCTCCACTCTTTATGTTTCTGCTCTGTTGTTTGGTTCCAGTTGCAAATGACTGGACGGCGTGTGTGTGAGGAAAAAGAAGGCCAATTTAGATATTTACCACGGCTTGCAATTGTCCTTTTGGTGTTTGTATATTTGATTATTTCATGTTACATTTGTGTTACACTGCTGCTGTATGAGACATAATCACCCACACACTTCTCAGAGTGTCACATACAATACATATATTGTAATTGATGATGAGCCGTGCATGTGAGGTGATCTTCACAATTTGGCTGGTATCAAAGTTGATTTGCTGCGTGTCGGTATTTTGTATTCCGTACCTGACCGAAGGCATTTTCAGTGGTGCTAAGGATTATAGAAGATTACAGCACTCCATTTTCTCAGGGCACGTACAGCCCGACAGTCGGTACACGAGGTGCTTCGACAGTGAGGTAATTTTGTCTTTCCTGTTGAGTCATCGAGTGTAATAATATCAGAAGATTAAACAAAAGCAAAAGAACAGACTGCTGCTTTTTAACGTTATATTAATCTGTGCTCGCGTTGCGCTCATAGCTGTATATTAGCATTCACAACAAAGGTTAATATGGTCTGTAACTCATTGATAGACACATTTGAAAACGTGTTACCAAATGGAAAACTCTGTGATAAATTTAATCTTAACTTCTCTCTTCGATATAAAGTTAAAGGTAATTCTAATTCCTCTTAGAACAATGATTCAACAGGTTTTGGTGGAGATCTTAAACTCGGCACATACTATATTTATCAGAAAGATTTTATCAGCAGAATATTATCCCAATCAGCTGTTTTACAAGAATACAAAGAGGCAAGGAAATTAAGACAATTAGAATTTTAAATCTCTTTATTTATCCATCCAATGAATTCTTGCAGCACCTGTGGATTCTGTGAAAGGCAGATGGTGAAACATGTTTTCTTTTAGTGTAAATTAGCGCCTGTTCAAGCTGGTATTCATGAGACTCAACTTGATTTTGTTGTGTAAATATCTTATTCACAGATGTGGACACTTAAAAGTTAGGCCCCAAATGAACAAGAATTTGCTCAATCCACTTGTAACACCACCCAGCATGCTGATTTAATGGCCATGTCACGCTTTGATAGTAGTGAAACGTGACTAAAGCTCTCAGTCTGTGGGAAATCCCTTTTTGAATATGGGTGTTCTCCATTTGGTAAAAACACAAGTTTCGTTCATACAGCAGTTGACAGTTTCGGAGTTAAACACCATCACAATCAACTTATTTGACTCTGGCTTCAGCCTACGCTACTGTAGGCATCCCGCTCCTTTCATGTACTCTAACCTGGATCAGCAATGAAACGCTTGGTCGCCAAACCGTCTCTAACACAGTGTTTACAAAACAAGCCTAGACTGTGGCGTCGCATGATGGCGCCTCGCACTGCAGCGATAAAACCATGCTGAAGTTTTGACACAGTCCTAGTGAGAGCATGCTTTACATTACATCGATTCAAAGTGTGTTGTGTGTGTGTGTGTAAGCCGAGGGAGAGATTATGTAAGAAAAGTTTTGAAAAGCGTGTGTGTCTGACCAGTCAGCAGCCAGAAGCTCTGTTGTGACGCAGACACAGTATTAGAGTAATAGACTTAGTGCTCTAGAGACCGACTGGACATAATGATTTAGAAAGAGACACACACAGAGAGAGAGAGAGAGAGGAAGAAGCAGACTTACGGGGGTCGGGGAGAGGTCAGATAGAGTAGCGAGATGATGTCATGTCATGAACTGGGAGAGAGTTAGGGATGTGTTGACGAGAGGAGGGGAACTTGTTATAGAATTAACAGGCGGTTACAGCGGCTGAACCAGAGACCGGAGAGAGAGAGAGAGGTTTGATCTAATTCCCACAGAGGAAGAAGAGGCAGAGGAAGAGATGGAGAGGCTGACAGAGACAAGAGAGAAAGAGATGATCTGTTAGACTTAAAGACTGTTTTTAGCCAAAGAAAGTGACAGTAGAGGAGAGACGACAGTGATGAAAATTATATATAATAACGTTGGCTTCTTTAATCTTGTGAATTTGGAGACCCGGAGTACGAAATGAGATAATTTTATATAATGTTCCAGGTATAGAGTTTTATTATTTGACTCGTTGGTATTTATTTATAATTTTCTGTTTTTGTGCAGCAATCAGGCTTATTGTCATGTTTACAAACAAGTAAATATGATTTTGGTCATTTGTTTTCACACATTTTCCCATTGAGTGTGTCAACGTGCACGTACACAGAGGCGAGGAAGGACTGGAGCATCTTGAACAGCACCGCTCAGAGGAAGTCTGTCACATTTCCTGTTTCCTTCTGTTTGCCTTCACTTATTATAGACAAGCTGTTCGAGTGTGTGAGTGAATCACCGTTGAATTTATCCGTTTATTCGAGGCAGGGGAAGTTCTTCCGAATACTCCTCCTGTGATAGTGAGAGACTGTTCTCCTTATTGACAACGTGGGGGTTATTCTGCTGTTAAATTATGCATCGTGTAAACACACAGGAAGAAAAAAAAAAAAAGAAGAGACGCTCATAAGCGCACACATATTAGTAAGTATGCAGGAAGATGAATGCATACACGCACACACGGATTCAAAAGCGTTTGTGTGCTTCCACAAACACACTCAGTATCTAGGTCATTGACTCAGTATGACTATTTAAAGTTGTGTTTACGTGTGTGAGTGTTTCAAGCTTTTACTTATCATCATCTTATTACGAGCACATCACACAGTGCCAGGGCACTTAATGCAGTGAAATGAAGTGAAGAACAAACACAGCCATGTGGCTTGGCCCGTCCATGCTTGATGAACTGATTTCATTTTGGTTAATTCTTCAGAGATGTAATAAACTCCAATACGCGGTTGTTTGATGCATGTAATTAGACCAGTTTGCAAGTGAACATGCAGTGATTCAGGAGCTTATTCAAAGGGTTTTTATTATTGTTTTTATTATTATTATTATTATTATTTGTGAGATTTTTGGACTAAACAGCTGATTAATTCATCATAAAAATAATGAATTGGTAATAAATTTTCTATAGCTTGATCTCAACTAGAGCTAGTGTTTAAAATAAGATTAAGATTTAAGTTTGTTTACATTTTGTTTATGGTAAAAAGCTGATATAAAACTCACAAATATCAATATCAGCCTTAAAAATCCAGTGCTGATCGAGTTTTAATCGTTTGCTGAACATTATGGTGCCTAAAGCTGATTAGGAAGACACATAATTATCTGCGTCACTTAATCCTGTCAGTGATGAGTTTTTAAATGTTGATGTCAACTTTCCTTTGACCCCCATAATCCAGTTTTTTATGACCAGTCTCTACTAATTATCCTGCCTGTAAAAATAACCAAGCTACTGGACCAATAATATTTTCT